AAAAAAAAAAAAAAAAAAAAAAAAAAAAAAAAAAAAAAAAGAAAGATGTATGATAGGAACTAAGGGAGAGGAGAGTGTTTGTCTAAATTGCATCTGAGCCCAGCATGAAGGTTCACTAGAAAAAGGTGGTCTTCCGAGTGGTTTCGATTTCATTAAGTCCTCATTTCTCCTAAGCAGGACTCTGGCATGGCACGGAGCACCCAGTGGGTGGGCCCAGCAAATGCCTCTGAATCGGTATCCTTGGCTCAGGACAGATTGGACTTGTGTGGCTGACATCAGGGGCTGGCGAGCTTTCAAGACGGCCTTGCCAAATGTTCATTTATTCACTCTAATTTAAGGACTAGGGTGCTGGTAATAACCACCTTCCCCCAAAGCACCGTGGGTTGGGAACCTCCTTGTCTGCTCATACCAGGGAAATAGCAGTGTTACCGGCACGATGTTTTGCATGCTTCTGGTAATTCCGTATCAGAAAACGTATGCTGAGCACCTCCAATGTCCGAAGCACATTGCTAGGCTTTGGGGAAGAGGAACTGTATCAGCTACCTGGCCCGGAGAGCGCTGACCTTGGTCCAGAGAGAGGAGGGTATTAACTCCATGCCCTCTGGACTCAAGGGGAGGCCATAGGTGAGCCTCTGGTGTGGATTTGTAAAAACAAGCCCTTTGTACTCAGGAGAGTCTGCTGGATGGAAACTGTCTGAATCTGGGAGAATGTTAAGTGCAAATCCAGGCAGACAGAGTCCAACCTCCACCATCAGCTCACTGTGGACAAGTCCCCTACTCTCAGCTTCCTTATCAGTATAGTAAGAAAAATGAAAGCAATTTCAAAATTAGCTTGTTTTAGGGATGGGGGGTGGAGGGCATCAAAATCTTTTTTTTTTTTTTTTTTCCAAAGTCATACAAAGAATCCCAATATATAAAACATAAAAGTCAGGTTGTTCTAGCTGAGCTGGAGCTGGGAGCACCTACCTGCCTGATCTCTCTTCATTCTCTGCAACAGCCCCTGAAATTCCTTCTCAGAAACAAGGTTCCTGCTGGCAGTTTAAAATCCCCTGGGCTCCGGCCGGGCGCGGTGGCTCAAGCCTGTAATCCCAGCACTTTGGGAGGCCGAGACGGGCGGATCACGAGGTCAGGAGATCGAGACCATCCTGG